TACTTGGAACAAATTCTCAAAAAAACCATATTTGTAAAATGGCGTTGGCTGAATCATTTCGAAGACACACTGCTAGACTAGGTCCGTATTGCTATACGGGAATTTTGACAGTAATGAGAAGGGCAAAAAAATCCTTCGAGCTCGCCCACAGTAGGGCACGGTTGGATTTCAGTATTGGATGAGCATGCGATACAGAGACGCAGGGACGCTCAGGGAGCAAGCGGGAGATCTATAACCGCGCACAAACAGGATTGAGAGCACCAGTCGCAACACCAAGCGATATACGTGTAGGCATGATTCCTGCAAACGGTATGGTGCTTGGAGGGGCGTGGATTGGATTACAGCCAGAACAGCCCTGTCCGTCAATTGCTGTAGACTCAGGATGGGACCAGAGACGGAAAAGCCGCCTTGGCTGCGCTTCAACTCGCACCCCTCACGCGCCTACTGCTTACGGGGATCATAGCTAGTACATCACCGCTGTTACAATCCCAACTGTTAAGGGAGATTTTCATCTGGTAGGGCAGAGTTTCCTGCAATCGCACAACTAAAACCACTGCTACTTACTTTCGAACGAAACAAATAGCACCACCTAAGCGGTTGAGCACCTGGGTTCACTATACATGGGAATTAATCCTCCACTTGGGCACGTGCGCTTTATGAAAATTACACCAGTAGGGCATTCCATAGGCATTCTACCGTTATCACATTGCATAGACATTCGTCCGCAATAAAGAACTCACCTGCAGCCAGACTGGCGAGACATGTGTGACTTTATGTGACACCCATTTGGCCAAGTCATAACCTTTGTTATTCCACTAAATTTGAAATCGTTTGTCAAGGATATTGCAGAGAAAAAGAGAACTTACCGGTGTGACATAGACGAGAACAGGATTTTCGAACTTTCTCGGCGAGAAATCCACTGTTTCATGGCCTTTCAAGATCGACTGCTTTGAGATGCTTGACGGCGGATGGGAGAGTGGCAGTTCATTTTTCTGGGAAGGAAGTAATCAACAAATTTGATACATTCCACCTATTTAGCTCTGTTGTAGTAGCGAACCAACTAGGAGACGGGCGCTAACGCAGTTGGGAGAGACCTTTCCGCAGCCCTCTACATCCCTTCCCCATCCAGTCTCACAGGCAGCGCCCGCGTTCATTTGATGTTCCTACGCCCTCTTTAATCGTAGCTTTGTCGACAAGGTGGAGGATGTACTAATTTCGCAGCTCAAAAATACGAGAGGATGGCGCCACCCGCTTGTGAAGAGGATGCCGCCCCGCCCACCTGGCTGCCATAACTGCTTGGCTTAGCCTTTAAAGGCTGAGCCCGCTCTCAAGAATAATGGAGTTATGGAGTTCATATAATAAATACGTCATCCAGTAGTGAAGAAAAGAAGCAGAAAAAAATCATAGGAAAATGCCCTATATAGAACCCTGTGGTGGCCAGGTGGGCGGGACGACCGACTCTTCACTAGCAAACGGCGCTATCCTCTCGCCTTTTTGAGATACAAAACTCGTCCATGCTGCATCCCCATAGGGAGGGCTATGGTATCCACAGAGAGCGCGGGAACATCCGTGGGCGTTGCCTTTAAGCTCATGGCGTCCCTGTAATACTCTCTGGGCAGCTCTGGTCGCGTCTAGCCGCTTAGGCCCATCCTAGTCGGGAGGGACACAGAGGCGAGGTCGAGTGGTCCCCAACTACGTCAACGCCTTCAGGCGAAGGTAGAAAGCAAGCAAAGGTAACGAGCCACAATAGAAGGAGGGTGTAGCTCAGGGCATCCCAGGGACTAAGAATGCTGGTAGCTCGCCGAGCACTATTCCTAGCTAGTTGTCTCAGCATAGCACCATGGCGTCAGGTCATTCGGTCATGGTAGCCTATGCCATATCATTTATACCATATCTGAAAATTGTACAACCGATGAACAGATCTCGTTCATTTCACGTTGGACTACTGTCAGATCGTATTACGCAAAGATTCCAAGTAGGGAATGGCACTCGTTGTTCTTTAAAACTCAGAATTTACAGAAGTTTATAAGTTTCTGAAATCTTCAGATGAGACCGTAAATGACCAGTACAGTACTTAGGCTGCCATGACTCAATAGATTTGACGCCAAGATGCAAGTCAAGTCGACTAACTAGTTAAAGTTCGTGAGTGATACCTCGTCTCCGAAGTCTTGAAGTAGGCCCCCAGATAAACATCAAAGGCAGTTGGCACGACAATTCGGTACTCGGCCTAAAATGCTAGCAGGGCGCTATATAGTGGGGAAAATGGCGAAAGAACGGAGTGAAACGGTCAAAATCCTGCGAAGAAAAGCCTTCGTTCTTAGTGACTCAAAAATCAATTTCGGACGAGTTTCCATAGGCATCTTGCCAATAACGCTACCAAAGATAGGGCTGCATGTGTGGACTCATGTATCCATGCAGCACCGCGGCCGCTTTGTACCAATCCCTTCGTTTAAAATTTGCGCAGCAAATGAATCAATACGAGCGTCAGGGACGGTCGTCCATTTGTGGGCAGGCAGGCGTTAAGGGCGTTCGGGTCGCTAGTTATGGCTTGATAGGGTCCTTACAAGGGCACCTTCTTTGGGAAGGGCGCTGTGCAGCGCCTTTTCTAGGGCGCGGCATTCCAGGCCTCCAGGCGTATTAATCCTACTGCCAGGTGTATTAATCCTACTCGTCTTTGACGCGCCAACTGCCTTCAAAAGGAGTAGGGACGATTGCTGGAGGGGCGGTTGTTGCCAGCGTCATTGGTGGAAGGCCTGCCCACACACCTCACTCAGCGATTTCACCGACGGCGATGCCGACAATCGCCCGCCCCTAGCAATCGTGCCCACTGCCTCTTAACAGAGTTGGACAGGGAAACAGTAGGAGCGCAAAAAAATTAATGAGCCGAAAAAAGAGTAAGAGAATGAATAACCAAGTGAAGAATGAAAAATGAAAATGGATCAATCTAGCTAGGTCCAAAACAGTACCTACTAAAACCATACCTCTTCTTCCTCCTGTTTTTGGACAGTGACCTTCTCTACCTCTTCCTTCTTTTTCTCCTTAAATCGAGAGAAACATAGGAACATTCCAGTTTTTCGAAATAAGTCAAGGATCACCTGTTTCTTCAACCGATCTGATTTTCCCTTTTGTTCAGACAACATAAGCAGAAGTAAGAAAACGCTAACTCGAAGCCATACCATCTGTACAGAGTAGTATGTTATTTCTAAAAGTTTTGGAAGTTGTTTCTAGTGAAAGGTAGAAGACAGACCAACTGCTATTTCAACATAATTTTCTCTGATAAAGTTTATTTTCTATGAACATTATAACAAAGTAATCGAGCAACAATAACAACTCTTTCTCAGCCTATATAACACATGATTACTACAATTGAAGAGAGGAGCACAGAATACCTGCGAAGACAATAAACCAAAAGCACTTATTGAGATCACTTTCCCTTGCGAGCAAATTTGTCATATCGAAGCCACCATTGGTCCCAATCATTGTTGAAATCACGCTTGAACGTGGGGAATGACACCAGTGGATCTGGATGAATGTCTTGAAGGCGAATTCCAGCACGCTCCACCTGTAAAAATGAGACCAGCATGTACTCGAATGGTCAACGGGGAGAGTCGGACAAGGTAATCGTAATTTTCGCGTCGTCGCGCGCGGCATATCGTGCGGCCATGCGCGGCGAAATTTTCCATGTGCTTTAGTTTGTAGGGTTGAAGCAGCGTCACTAATACAATTTCATGCAGGACAAGATACCATAACCGACAATATCGGACTTTCCTGCTCTTTAACCCTTTAAAATTCGAACGGGCAGGCAGGACAACGCGTCTGCCGAGAGCGGCGTTGCTCGCCAGGCCCACCTGCGCGGGATATTACTACTGCTTTGCCTTATACTTCGATGGGCGTGGGGAACAAGGTGATTATAAAAAAACAAAAATTATCGGTGAACTCACATGAGGCAATGGCGGTTTCGTCCATTCCTTATACCAGTCCCGAAAGTCGAAATTTCGAAAGTCGACACCGAACGTAATTGTTCCTAAATGTAGAGAAATTTCAGCGGTGACAAAAATGAAAACTAACGAGTAGTAATAGTAGTGGGAATTCACGCAAGAGAATCTACTGGGAGAATAGAAGATTCGAAGAACAGGTGAATTGGAGCATCGGACTGATTGATTCTTCGACTTTTCCAATGACAATCCTTCAGCGAGCATTCTCTTATTCTATCAAATCACACAATCAATACCCACACTTTCCTTTACGCACATTCTCCTAATCTCCGTTTCTCTAGTGTCGCCAACTACGAAGGACGCAACCAGGAAGACTGCAATATTGATCCAGCACTAGACTAGCCCGCCAGTTTCAACACACATTCTAGTAGGCAGCGTTCAGACTTCGCGACGGCAGCGCCTCGGTCGCGCGTTCGGCGCGATCGATGCGCATGCTTTCGACTGCGATCGATCGCGTCGAACGCGCGACCAAAGCGCTGCCGTTGCAAAGTCTGAACGCTGCCGTAAGGAAAGTAGCTTTGCAGTGAGTGGAACCACTGCGGGTCCTGCCGTTGGGGGAAACTTTTAAGGGTAAGTAGCACTTGAGAGAGGGGAAAAACGAGAAAAGTTCTTCGTGTTCTGAATGAAACCCATTTATTTAACGCTGGAATATGCAAGGTAGTCCACCCCTTTACGGAAATTCCTTCCCCGCTCCCTCCCGCCCCTCCCTTTGGAAATTTACAAGGTACTCTGGCGCCAACAAAAATCGCTTCCTCACTTCTTGTACCTCTTTATACGCAGTGGCTTAAAGTACGAAACAATTGTAAGAAAAAGCCAACAGACTGGAATCAAAACTAACCGTGTTCCTTCGCAGCAAGCAACTGGGCTCTGAGCAAAGCGTATTGCTCTTGACAAAGGCCACTTTTCAGAATAGCAATCGGCTGGTGAGTTCCATCAGAAAGAAACTGCTCGATCAAAGCAGGATTCCGGTAGTCAAAGAACAAGTACTCGTCACGACACACCTGTTAATAGATAGAAGTATACGGAGTGGTGCAGAAATACTAATGTACTAATATTTCGTTGGCATTTCGATGTTAAACTTCAAAAACTATTTCTAGCTGTGAAAAATATTGATTACAAGCTGGTGATCTACAAATATTGATAGTTGTCAAATTGATTGCCCTCATCTTTCACATCAGACGTGTAGCAGGCACTTGACATACGGACATACCGTCGATACATGAGCAAAAAGGTAAGTATTCTGACAACGGTTACGGTTGTATGCGGCGGTCCAGGCAGGAAAGAGGCAGAGATGCATATGTGAGTGAATCGGCACGGGAATACGCAGATGTCCGTAGCACCACCCCCTTCTGGCCCATATTGCAGACAATTAGAACCGATGACCAGTTTAGTTGTAGGATTTCGAAACCCGTGTTGCAGTCCGAATGGGGGCGTTTGGTCGTACTGATCAGGGCAAACAAATCGTACCTTGAGAACACCCAGCGATGCGGAAGGGGGGAGGGTGTCGTACTTGGCCGATGAAGCGGTATGGGGGTTGTATTTGCTGTTGAGAAAAATGTTTCCGGTTCTCGACTTGTCTCGATTTTTCCTTTTTCGTGTGCGCTATAATACCTCGCCCCGCCCTCGACGGCAGCTAGCAGTAGATTACAGCCAATTCGCATACCGAGAATGTAAAAGCAGTGGAGCAGTGGTTGAAAGTAAATGAAAAAAAACAGCTGATCACTGAAAAACGTATGGAAAATGCTTCAACTTTATAGCTGAATTACTTATGATTCGATGTGTTCATGGTCCCTGACCAAATTTTTAGTTGCTGCATGCTGAGCCCAAGAATTCTAAAAAATATAGTGAAACAAGAGCCACTTATAGGGAAAGTGAAGAAAGTCTGCCAAATTCAAAACGCAATCAACAGGTAGAAAAAAAAACTGACCGGACATGCATTATTTACATTGAATCGTCCATATCTGTCAATACAGAATAGCCGAGGAGGTGGTTGCAAAATCGACTGCCCCTAAACCAGTGGAAAATTACTGGTATGTTTTACATCACTATAAAAGGAAACAAACAGATCAGTGGCGATGACATGTACATGGCGGGTTCTGTGAACGGAATTCAACTAAGTGGTTACAATGCCACGAAGGTTTAGCGAGCAGATCGATCACTGTCGATGGGAAAGCAATTCAGCCGTAAAGCTGATCGTCGCGTTCTGGCGGGCGTTATTTTGGACTATTTCTTGCCCCGATGCCTGCCAGCAGACCAACACCAACGGACAGTGATCAGTTGCGGTAATATTGTTTAGCTAAATGTTTATTCAAAGTCGGAGTTAATCCGCTTTCGTCTGTTTACTGGTATTTTTTCAACCGCAATCGGTCTAACGGCTACCAACGATGTGGCAGTTGACAAGCTGATCAAGCAGTTATTACAGAAAGACTATCTAACGTTCTCAGACTCCTCTTGCTTACCCAGCCAAGGGAATGAAGATTTCGTTGCTTTTCAGAACAGAGCGCTAACACTGTGCAACAGCAGCTTCCGAAAATCTATACTGGATAACGTACTCCACGATTAAATTTCCGTGGAAGATCAAATGGCGATAATCTACAGCGGTACATCTAACAGTGCTCGCCCACGTTTCCCATCGAGAAAGCGATCACTTGGTGAGGAGCGTTACTTCCAAGTCGCGGCATCGCGTACTAGTTGAATGGCGAGATAGAGTCGACGCGCAGCGCTGCAGCATTGGTGGGTAGGGGGGGGGGTCTGTCGTTTGACGCGATCTATTGTGCCGAAAACGTGTCAAACCATGTCGTACGAACCGCCTCCCAGGGAGGGCAACTCGTCCAAACTTTTGAACCACAAGTTTTTCTCAAAAACTGATCAGTGGGATATGCCTTGGATGAGAAGTAGGAACACAACATGTAGTGCTTTGCTGCCACGCGGTGTTTTGTGTGTTGATTGTTGACTGTGGATGACGACTTGTATCAAGAACAAGTTTTATTTGCCGGATGCCTTGGATGCCTGCTCTTGACTAGAGTCCCACTATTGGACGACGAGGCCTGGCTCCTTGATTGCGACTACTTCTGAATGAATGAACCAACGAATGAACCATACCGGCTTGCCATCACTTCTTATACCATATTCTATCTTATCCCTCAAAGATACTTATCAATCATTGTACACAGCGCGTTACTGACAGATCATTTTACATATCAACAAACAAGTTAACAGTTGAAATGAAAGCCTAAAGAAATGAAATACCTGTAGCTATTGCTACACCACAGATGACACTTATGTTATTATACAGTCCGCCAATTACGAAGACCTCGCACATTAATGATTCGGACGAGTTGTCCAACATTGCTAATTAACTTGTCATTACTTGTCATCTCACGTCGGTGACCGCGCCAAACG